CATCGCATCCATTTATCTTTGAACTGTGTGAAAACATCGCATCCATTTATCTTTGAACAGTGTGAAAACATAATTATAGTAATTATATTTGAACTGTGTGAAAACATCGCATCCATTTATCTTTGAACTGTGTGAAAACATCGCATCCATTTATCTTTGAACTGTGTGAAAACATCGCATCCATTTATCTTTGAACAGTGTAAAAACATCGCAGCCATTTTTCTTTGAACTGTGTGAAAACATTGCATCCATTTATCTTTGAACTGTGTGAAAACATAATTATAGTAATTATCTTTACACAACGACTTACTTGGTTTTCATTTATGAACCAGCGAAGAAATGCAGGAGTCTTAGAAGTGGTCGAAGAACAGTTGACATCGACAACATCATTGATTCGATAAGCGGAATATCCACCTGTGATTATGGGACCTTTATTGGAGCCTGCAGGGTCACACACAAAAAAAGAAAACCTAATACTTGTTGTAATTAAGTTAATATATTTTTATATCTATCTCAAGGTTGTTCAACCATTGACCGAAAAAGTACGTCTAATTGTGACTTTTTTTTAGATAAATTTAGTTCAGCTAATATATCATTCCTCTGTATTGGTTAAAAATTCCTTTTTAGAGCAATAACTATAGTGTATAGCAGTTCAATTAAAGTTTATATTGCATTAATAGCCCAGCATGGCCAGGTGCGTGTTTGCTGTGACCTGCCTGGATCCAGCGACTTGCAATCTGAGGGTCGCGGGTTCGAATCCCCGTCACACCAAACATGCTCGCCCTTTCAGCCGTGGGGGCGTTATAATGTGACGGTCAATCCCACTATTCGTTGGTAAAAGAGTAGCCCAAGAGTTGGCGGTGGGGGTTGATGACTAGCTGCCTTCCCTCTAGTCTTACACTGCTAAATTAGGGACGGCTAGCGCAGATAGCCCTCGTGTAGCTTTGCGCGTAATTCAAAAACAAAACAAACATTGCATTAATACGTGGCTCATCGATAAGTCCGAGGGCTTATGACGCTAAAAACGGGGGTACGACACTCAAGATGGGTAGAACAAAGATAATTAATTGTCTAATTGAATAATTGTGTGACAAAATGCTTTTTCTTTTGTTAGGCTTGACACCAACCCTTGAATTTTAAAATATTAAGTTAGAGACAAAATGGTTCCGTTCGATCGGGTGGTTTTAATCTCAAACAGACTTGTGATTATATTACAATTAGATTATAAGGCTCAAAAGAAAATAATAGATAAGTTAGAAAAAACATTCGATGCTTTTTTGTGTGTGGGTGTTTTTACAAATTATTAAAACCAAACAGAAAGTTATTTCACATAATAAATCCTTTTGTTCTATAATAGTTAGGGCGTTCGACTCGCAATCTTTCACCGAACTTGCTCGTCCTTTATCCGCGGGGACGTTATAATGTGGCAGTCAATCCCACTATTCGTTGGTAAAAGAGTAACTCAAGCGTTGGCAGTGGGTGGTGTTGAGTAGTTGCTTTCCCTCTAGTCTATTACTTCAGGGTACTAAGAATAAAGTTTTTAATAAAAGGCATTTAGGTATAGAGATTAGTAAACCTAAAGAAAAGTTTATACGTCTTGTAATGGCTCCTTTTACAAATATACATATTAATATTTTATTTGCTAATACACAATTAAAAAATAATACATAAGAAAAAGTGAATGGAACTTTCAGTGATAATAAAATTATTTTATCAAAAGGAGAACCAAAAAATTTCAATAATATATTGAATAAGTTCAACAAAAAATATTTTTTTTAAAGAAAGAAAGAATTGTGGTTTTTTATGTAAAAATCCCCCCCCCCCAAAAAAAATTAAGTAATTTATTTAATTGCAATTCTAGAAAAGTGTAGATTGTAGTGAATTCTATGTTGGTGAAACAGATAATTTAAGATTTAGGATGATTCTACATAAATTCCATGTTTAAAATCCCGAAAAAAACCTAGTATATGGCAGCAAACATTTTAATGAATTTATTTTGAGCAAATTTAAACTCCTGAAAGATCCAAAAGTGTCCCTTTGTTGGACACGTAATATTAAACATAAAATATTAATTTTCGGAAATATTTCATACATTTTTGGCGCCACTTTAGACAGAGAAGAGTAAAGGGCAGAAGCAACTGAGTAAAATTAATTGTATTTTTACTGATTTTGTACAATAACAGGAGAAAGTATAATTAAAATCAAGTGTTAGTCAAACGAAACTGATAAAAGGATATATAAAAGGAGGAAAAGTTTATTTTATAAACTTAAACAAATATCTTTTTTTTAGTTATTGCAATGCACTTAACTTATATAAAGACAGTATTTTACGTTTGTACATTCAGAAAAGTATTTATTTAATTCAGATTATTCATGTTTAGTTGAAGAGTGAAAATTAAAGTTTTCATTATAAATTATCTGTAAAATATATCCTGAAGATTGACATTGAAATCACGAAACCGGTAGTCGATAATATAGAAGAGTTTAAGATTGTAGATAACCAAAGATGTATATAACTAAACATTCTGAAAATTGAAACTTTACAAGTGTTTCCGTGACCAACTTTATTAGATTATTGAAGTTTATATAATTAGCCAAGGCACGTAATGGTAAAAGTAATCTGACAAAAGAAATGTTTTTATTAAATACCGATGTTTCTGTTGTCGAGAAAAACTCAATAACTGAGGTTATAAAAGTTATTAATATTGGCTTGTTGGTAATTCAACTGAACTAAATCGTGTTTTTTTTTTAATCACATAACCTCTGAGAAATCTTCGTAGAACATATATATGCTGGAGTTAACATTACCTAAACTTGGGTAAGGGCTTGAAGGCGAAACACCGCCGCCTATGATAATTTCCTCACTGCTCAAGGAGTAGTTGTTTGAAATAATAGCTGAACATCTCAGAGTTAGGGTATCTCGTATGAAGTGCTCAGGTGTGACCTCAAAATAAAGGCCTAGCATAGAACTAATGAGGCCACCAATGCGTTCGCTCTCTGGATAGGCGGTTAAAAAGTCTTCGGGAGGCTACGAAATATAAACAAGACAAATGTATTTTAAAACACATACATACAACACACGTTACACTAACGAAACGCATTTTTGAGTGACATATTTATAGACTAGAAGGTTGAGGATGCCAAACAAAAATGCTACGAAACGTTAAAGCGACTGAATAAGGACTGATAAATATGTATATGCTAATGTTTTATTTATTGTCAAAGAGTGGTTGAGGTTATTCAGTCAGATGTAGATGTCATACTTTATCTTGTCGCTCTGTACATTATAATATTAATTATATAAAACTCACATTAGCTAAGGATAACCACAATAAATAATAATATGAAACAAAAGATTACTTCAGAACAATAAAACATCATGCAATGAGAGATGGTAACAATAATAATTATCTAACCATGGTAACAATAGTGCTTATCTAACTATGGTAACAATAATAATTATCTAACCATGGTAACAATAGTGCTTATCTAACCATGG